CCACGAAACGTGTGAGAGGTGTGCCGAGAGCAAAGGCAAGGAGGGGGAGGAGGGAGGAGGGGAGGAGGGAGGGGGAGAAGGAGGAGGGGGAGGAGGAAGGAGGAGGAGGTGGGAACGCGGGGCGCCGTCTCTTCAAAACGAGGACCCAACACCACAGGATGATTGGGAAAAATACTCAAAAGATGCCCAAAAATACTCAATTATCCTGGCGAAGGTCCCAACCACATGCAGTTGTGGGTACCGAAATTGTGAATATCTGCTTCGGTGAAGCTCCCTATGGGGCCACGAAGCGCTGCACTGGGCGGGGGGGGAACGCTGTACTGTGTGGGTGGTGTGCCGAATTGGGTTTCTGGGACGCATGCGGACGGTCCCACTGAGGGCCTTCGGTGGAGCTCCCTATGGGGCCACGAAGAGCTCTACTGAGTGACTGAAAATGCCGAATTGGGTTACCGGGACGCATGCGGACGGTCCCACTGGGGGCTTCGCTGAAGCCCCCTATGGGGCCACGAAACGCTGCACTGCGCGGGTGAAAATGCCAAATTACATTTCCCTGACGCATACGGACGGTGGCACTGGGGCCTTGGGTGGAGCCCCCTATGGGGGCACGAAGCGCTGCACTGGGTGGGTGAAAATGCCAAATTGGGCTTCGGGGACGCATGCGGACGGGAGCACTGGGGCCTTCGGTGGAGCTCCCTATGGGGCCACGACACGCTGCCCTGGGTGGGTGAAACGCAGGGGGGAGGGGGGGGAGGGCTACAAAACGCTATACTGGGTGTGCGGGACGCATGGGGACGGGAGCACTGGGACCGTCGGTGGGACTCCCTATGGGGCCACGAAACGCTGTTCTGGGTGTGCGGGACGCATGCGGACGGTAGCACTGGGACCTTCGGTGGGGCTCCCTATGGGGCCACGAAACGCTGTATTGGGTGGGTGAAACACAGGGAGGAGGGGGAGGAGGGCCACGAAACGCTGTAGTGGGTGTGCGGGACGCATGCGGACGGTAGCACTTGGACCTTCGGTGGAGCTCCCTATGGGGCCACGAAACGCTGTTCTGGGTGTGCGGGACGCATGCGGACGGTCCCACTGGGACCTTCGGTAGGGCTCCCTATGGGGCCACGAAACACTGTACTGGGTGCGGGACGCATGGGGACGGGAGCACTGGGACCGTCGGTGGGACTCCCTATGGGGCCACGAAACGCTGTACTGGGTGGGTGAAACGCAGGGAGGAGGGGGAGGAGGGCCACGAAACGCTGTACTGGGTGTGCGGGACGCGTGCGGACGGGAGCACTGGGACCTTCGATGGAGCTCCCTGTGGGCCACGAAACGCTGTACTGGGTGTGCGGGACGCGTGCGGACGGTAGCACTGGGACCTTCGGTGGGGCTCCCCATGGGGCCACGAAACGCTGTACTGGGTGTGCGGGACGCATGCGGACGGTAGGGAGGAGGGGGAAGAGGAGGAGAGCAGAACGCGGGGACCGTCTCTTCAAAACGAGGACCCAACACCACAGGATGGTTGGGAAAAAATAGTCCCCAAACTCTTGCGCGTACGCGGCCAAATCTCCGGCGATCTGCGCTCTCCAACCGGCGATGTTCCCTAGACCCGGGCATGCGGTGACAATCGTTGGGCCCCAGAGCCAGCAGAGATGAATCCGGGGCGAAACAGAGGCCGGGGGGACGGAGTCGGGACCTCTGGGGCCGCGGATTGGACAGGAGGAGGAGGAGGCGGAGGAGGAAGAGGAGGAGGAGGAGGGGCCGCTGTCTACCTCCACCCCCGCTCCTTACGCGGCTGCGTGCCGCAAAGGGCTCGCGGCTGTGCGCCAGCGCACCAGCCCTGGCCGCGAAGCTATCATTCGGACCAAGGGGCGGGCCGACAAAGAAAAGCGGGCCAAGCAAGGAAAACGAAAAACAAAGAAAAACAAAAAAAGAAAAGCGCGGGCCGGCAAAGAAAAGCCGGCCCCGCTCACACACACCCTCCTGGCCCTCGGCGCCCCGTCCTCGTCCCCCGTCTTCCCCCTGGTCCTCCCCCGCTCCTCCCCCTTCTTTCACCCCTCCTCCTTCCTCCCCTTCTCCTTTCACCCACCCTTCCAAGAGAGGTCACCAGAACCTTCCTTCAGCGGATTCGGAAGGGCCTCTTCCCAGGCCAGAAGGGCCCCTCGAGGGCTATGGCTGCCCGCGTGGAGGGCAGCATCAGGCGGGAAGCCAGCCTCTGTGGCAACCCGCCTGGCTCTCTCTCTCTCTCTTTCTCTCTTCCTGCGAGTCATCCTGCCACCCCTCCTCTCCCCCTCTTCATCCCTTCTCACCCCCCTCCTTCAAAATGACGTGCATCGCTGCATGTGCCCCGCTTCTTGAGCCCAACGCAGAAGCGATGCCACACAGCCCCGCGGCGGCCGCGAAAAGAAGAGGGGGAGGCGGAGGAGGGGGGGAAAGGGAAGAAGGAGGAGGCAGAAGGCGAGGGGGAGGGGCAGGAGGACGGGCAGGGGCAGGAGCGGGAAGAGAGGGAAGAGGAGGAGCAGGAGGAGGAGGAGGAGGGGGAGGAGGAGGATCCGCAACTGCAAGCAAGGTACGCACCGCCTAACAAAGACAGCCGCCAAGCCTCGGTGGCTTGGAAGGTCGGGCGAACTTCGCGGAGTCAAGAAACGGCAGAGGATGATGGTGTGCGAAGGTACCACCTCAGATATCGGAGCAATAAGCCATCGTCAACATCAACATCAGCATCATCGATATCCTGATCATCACAATCATCACAACCATCACCATCGTCATCAGCATCGTCAGCATGATCACCACCAACACCAGTATCCTCATCGTCAACATCATATTCATCGTCAGCATCATCATCAGCAGCATCATCATCAGCATCATCATCATCGTCATCATCGTCATCAGCATCATCATAAACAACAACATCATCATCATCATCATCATCATCATCATCATCATCATCATCATCATCATCATCGTCATCATCATCATCATCGTCATCATCGTCATCATCATCATCATCATCATGATATAATCACCATCATAAGCAGCACCATCATCATCAGACTCATCAGACTCATCAGACTCATCAGACTCATCAGCAGCAACAGCATCATAATCAGCATGATCATCAGCATCATCATCACCGTCAGCATCGTCATTAGCATCATCATCGTCATCATCATCAACAGCATCATCATCACCGACATCCTTATCACCATCGTCGTCGTCATGGTCGACATCATCATCATCATCATGATCATCATCAGCATCATCATCAGCAGCCTCATCGTCGTCATCATCGTCACCAGCAGCAGTATCAACATCAGCATCGGCATCATCATCATCATCATCAGCAGCATCAGCATCATCATCAGCATCATCATCACCAGCATCATCATAATCAGAATCACTATCATAACCATAATAGTCGTCGTCACCACCACATCGTCATCATCGTCATCATCGTCATTAGCATCATCAACACCACCACCACCATCATCATCATCATCATGGGCAGCATCATCATCATCACCGTCATCAACATCATCATCCTCATCATCCTCCTCATCATCATCGCCGGCATCGGCATCGTCATCGTCGTCATCATCATAAGCATCGTTATCATCATCAGCACCACCACGATCGACATCATCATCCTCATCATCATCCCCATCATCATCATCATCATCATCATCATCATCATCATCATCATCATCGTCGCCGGCATCGGCATCGTCATCGTCATCGTCGTCGTCATCATAAGCATCATCATCATCACGGTGATCCTCACCATCACAGTCCTCATCATCAGTGTCCTCTTCATCACCCTCCTTCGTCACCAACATCAACGACAGCAGCTGCCTCCAGCCCGTGAAAATTATCATGATATGATGTTCCTGCTATAAATCCAGCTCATGTCCAGCTCAAGCTGACCCCCATGTCCAGCTCAAGCTCCAGCTCGTCATCATCGTCTTCTTGCTTCTAGCCGCTGTCTTCCTCCTGCTCTGCTCATCCTCCTCAACCCTTGCCTCATAATTTTGCTTCAGCGGGACGCCGGAATCGGCTGGTCACGGAATATCATGTGATGCGTATTCGCACTCGAAAGGTGGCGGCTCCTTCCCTCACGCCAGCACCCATCCGAATGCCCGTACGAACAAACCTTCCCGCTCTCTGCCCTGAGGGGAAAGTGAGGACGAGGGAAAGTAGGTGGAGGGGGAGGTGGCGCGAGCATGGATGATGCGTGCAGGCTTGGGGAGGAGGGCACGAACAAGGTCAACGACACGCCGCCAACGGGGAACCTGCCAGCGGGTCACTGCTGAAGAAGCGCCACGACCTCGGACAAAAAAAGAGCAGCACGACGACGGGCCCCCAACGGCGGCGCGTCATCGATGCTCTCTCTGCCTTCCCTCCCGAAGCTTCGGTCCTCGGGCATGCTGCGCCCTGCAGCCTGCAGTCGAACGTCATCGGAGCAGCCCTGCTGGAGCGCACGACTTCGGAAGCGACGCGGGCAGGATGGCGCCCGATCCTCCTCCTCCTCCTCCTCCTCGTCGCCACGGATGTGAGGGGCAACGATGGGGGGGGGGGCTGGCATAGAAAGGGGGGAAACATCGACCTGGGATGGGCGATGCCTCGCCGGCAGCTCGGCGACAGGCCTCCGATGGCGAATCCGCACGGTCCTGGGCGGGGCGGGCCTTCTCGGGCCACCGTCGGCGACGAGCGGGCGAGCCGAGCTCGTCCCCTGAGCAGGAGGAGGAGGAGGAGGAGGAGGAGGAGGAGGAGGAGGAGGAGGAGGAGGAGGAGAAGGAGGAGGAGGAGGAGGAGGCGGAGGAGGGGGAGGAGGTGCAGGAGGAGGACGAGGAGGAGCAGGGGGAGGAGGATGCACACACACACACACACACACACACACCCTGAGCTCGTCCACCCCCCCTTCCTGTTGCTGCCCCTGGCGCGCCGCGCTCCGGCCCGCGAGGGGGTCCGCGGGAGGCGCGGAGCGGGGAGCGAGGGCGGCTCGCGGCCTTTGTCAGGCCACGGGAGACGCTCTGGAGGAGGATGTTCACCTCGTCGAAGTTCAGCCTGCCCTCTCGAGAGAAGTCGAAGACGGGGAACAGGGCCTCGACCTCCCAGGGAGGCCAAAGGTCGCAGCGCTTCGGGCGGGCGTCGCGGCAGGCCGGCCGATTCGGGTCCCGCTCCTCCTCGTGCCCTCCACGCTGCCTCGCCCTCTGGGGGGCGGAGGTGTCAGGCGAGGAGGGAGGAGGGAGGAGAAAGGAGGGGGGAAAGGAGGATGCGGAGGGGGACCCGACGGCGACTCGGAGGAGGGCGACGGGCGGGCGAAGACGAGGACGAGGATGAGGACGAGCAAATAGGGATGAAGGAGGGAGGACAAACGAACTGAGCAAGAACGGAAGAGGGGGGTGAGGGGCAACGATAGGGAGGGGATAGGCACAGAGGGGGGGGACATCGACCTCGGCGACACATCGCCGATGGATCGGCGATAGGCCCCCGATGGTGAATCCGAACGCTAACTGAGCACGTTGGGGCTATCGGGCCCCTATCGATGATCAATGTACGATTGGAGGTCGATGTATCCCCCGTATGCGTATCCCGCCCTACGCTGCCCCTGGTTTTTTTCCGGTCATAACTCGGGCCTCCAGCGGCAGTTCGGAACGATTCGGGCTCCCCCAAAACGCCCTCGGCGAGGCGCAGCTGCTGAAGGGCATCCCGAAGCGGGAAAATCTGGAACCGACGAGAAAGCCCGAAAACCTCGAAGTCCGAAACTTCGTCCCCCTTGAACCCCCTCTTATGCCTGTCCCCCACTAGAGCAGGACGCACAGAGACATACTATTGCTAGATTTCCTCCTTGGTGGCGCGCGTCCAACCCGAACACGTAGTATACCCATCTCGTAGCGCATCGATTCCCGATCGGTGTGGCCAGAAGGCGCCCGCCGCGACGCTATATATATATATTATATATATATATATATGTATACTATAAGATTCTCGGTGCGCGCGTCGCCCCTCGGGAGGGGGGGCGACGCACACATAGTGTTAGTATGTTGGGGTGACGCCGATCGGAGTTTGCCAAACAAGGGCGCCCAACTTCGCGCTTCGCGCCGCACGCAGCGCGAAACTAGGGGAACAACGAATTGCATAAACACAAAAACTCTGAGGTCCGCGCGGATTTCTCGGATCGGCGCTGGGGCCCCCCTGCGGCGCCTCCGGCGCCGCCCCTGGCGCGCTCCGCGCGCCAGGGAGGGAGGTCCAGCGCCGATCCGAGAAAACCGCGCGGACCTCCGAGTTTTTATGTTTATGCCACTTTTGTTCCCCCAGAAGCGCGAAGAACCGAACACTCTCGAGGGCGCCCTTGCCAGAGGCGCACCTCGGCGGAGGCGCACCCAGCCTTCCGCTCGCTCGAGGAGGAGGAGGCGGAGGAGGAGGAGGAGGAAAAGGAGGAGGAGGAGGACGAGGAGGAGGAGGAGGAGGAGCGGCTATCGGGGCGATCGGGCCCCTGTCGATCACCCCCCCCTGAATCTCCCCCCGACGTTGCCCCAACGTTGCCCCTGATGGTTTTCGGGGCGCCCCTCGGGCCCCTGGCGGCCGTTCGGGGCCGCCCCGAGCACCCCTGGAACGCCCTTGGCGAAGTGAAACTGCTGGAAGGCATCCCGAAGATGGAAAACCGGCGGGAACCTTCGAAGCCGTCCGAAACCTAATATATATATATATATATATATAT